ATTGTGGTTAATGAAGGATAATTTTGAAGATTCTCATGTGAACCTTTTTACTGAAATTGAAAAAATTTATTTATAAGTTTTTATTGTTACAATATATATGTTGGGGTAGTAAGGGTGTCACATATTTCTTCAATCGAAACCCCCTGAAACCCCCTGATGGTTGCTTCAACTTGATGACACCAAGTGAGGAAATTATCCTCACTAACACATGACAAAATGGGATTAGAGAAAGTTTAGGGCACGAAAGTTGGTGTTGCGGAAGTCATGGATCTTTGAGCTCTGGATACCATGTAAAGAGAAATTACAGCAAGAGAAAGGAAGAATAGAAGGCTAAAATCAGATAATTATTAAGTCAAGGAAATATAAGAGGATGAGACTATTTAAAGGGCTGCAATATTATAACTAATTGAAACATTTTCTCACCGTGCGATTTGTGGATATTTTAGGTGAGGAAGATCTGGCTACGAGTGGTATCTAGAATGCCAACGGTTGAATTGTCGGGATGCTCTGATATTGTGACATCGGGGCAAAAGATTTTTTTTAGAACATAGGTTTTTATTGTAAATGTTATTTTTGAAAACAATTTGAAAACTCTTGCGTTTCATTTTTGTTATTGTGGTTAATGAAGGATAATTTTGAAGATTCTCATGTGAACCTTTTTACTGAAATTGAAAAAATTTATTTATAAGTTTTTATTGTTACAATATATATGTTGGGGTAGTAAGGGTGTCACATATTTCTTCAATCGAAACCCCCTGAAACCCCCTGATGGTTGCTTCAACTTGATGACACCAAGTGAGGAAATTATCCTCACTAACACATGACAAAATGGGATTAGAGAAAGTTTAGGGCACGAAAGTTGGTGTTGCGGAAGTCATGGATCTTTGAGCTCTGGATACCATGTAAAGAGAAATTACAGCAAGAGAAAGGAAGAATAGAAGGCTAAAATCAGATAATTATTAAGTCAAGGAAATATAAGAGGATGAGACTATTTAAAGGGCTGCAATATTATAACTAATTGAAACATATATATCTCCTAAAATATATGGGTGAGAAAATTAACTCTTAATTCGCATTTGTATCCCTTATAGTATTTAGTATCTATTCTTCTAGTAACAATTTTTAGAGGTTTCCTGAAAAAAATGTTGCATATATTAATTTTTAATAAAAAAACATTTAATTTTTATCAGCATATAACTGGTTAACAATATGCTCAAAATATTTTGAGATATGAATTGCTTTACCTTGATGAAGGTAGCATCCCCACGGGGAACAAATTCAAACGCGTCCCCAGCAACATGTGTTACACCTAGAATATGACATAGGAAAATGTTTCTTGATACACTACTAGAAAAGTGTCATTTTCTTGTAAATTTTCCTGCAAAAAAATATTCGCAGAATTTTTTTACAAATTTCGTTGCAAAAAAATATTCGCAAATTTTTTTGCGAATTTTCCAGCAAAAAAATATTTACAGAAATTTTTTGCGAATTTATTTGCAAAAAATAATTTACAGATATTTCTTAAAAACTTTGCTACAATTTTAATAATCATAGAAATTTTTTCTATGGTAAAAATTTACAAAAAATATTGTAAGAATTTTATTTTGTTTCTTGCATATTTTCTTGCAAAAATAAATTCGCAAGTAATGTTTACTAAATGATAGAAAAATTTTGCATGTAACTTTTCTTGCTGGCCGTTCCATATCGGCTCGGCCTAAGGTCAACAAAGAATAATTAGAATGACGATCATGATTAACAAGGAACAACACGCAATTAAGGCATAACCATCCGATTAACATCATATTACTTAATTTGGTAAATGTCAGAGAAGGCCCACCATGCTCAGGCCCATGACAGGTAGTATAAATAAGTCACACGTAACGAGGTATGTCACTGTTCAATTATTGCTCTTGAGAATCGTGCTTGTTCTGACTTGAGCGTCAGAGTGCCTTTTGCAGGTACCTCTCCCCACTAAAGCATCTACCTGAAGCTCTCGTTCGGCCCTCTACCCACTAGAAGATTACGAGTGTGCCCTCAAACAGGTACAAATAACATTCCAATAAAAATTCCACTTAAATTGACACAGATGCTATTTGGGTAAAAAAAATTTTAAAAATAACATTCCAATAAAAATTTCACTTGTGGTCTTTGCTACACGAAGTTTGCTACATCCTCTATACAAAACGTCAATTGTATAGACGTTTTTGCTTTCTTTTTTTTTTAGAATAACATCGACGACTATAACATTTTTCTATTCTACCTCTCTTATGCGTAAAACGTCACATACAGTAACGTTTTCTTAATTTTCTCTGTCCTACATGTCTAAAATAATTGGTAAATAGTTTTTTTTTGGTTAAAAACCTAATTTAGTCTCTTATAATATTTTTTCAGTTTAGTCTCACTTTAATTTTTGGTTTCAATTTGGTCCCTAATAATTTAAATTACTACAATGTCGAACTTCCATCCAAATTATTTAAACGAAGTTAACTGTTGGCCACGTGGATGCCACGTAGATGCATAGGTGGATGCCAAATTTTTTAATGCATGTGGAACCAGAACAGCCTGTTCTGCTTCCACTCTTGGTGTGTAAATTTTGCATCTAGAACGGGCCGTTGCAGATGCAAAATTAACACACCAAGAGATTTGTCAGAAGTCTAAGGTAGAACATTATAGACCTTCAGGAAAGTTACAACCTTTAGATATACTTATGTCGAAGTGGGGTAACATTTCTATGGACTTTGTGATTGGGTTACCTAGAACTGCAAAGAATCTAGATTTCATTTGGGTTATAGTGGATAAACTAACAAAGTCAGCCCATTTTATTCCTATTAACATTAGATACCCTTTGGAGAGGTTGACCAAGTTGTATATAGGTGAAATTGTGAGATTGCATGGGGTTTCGACAAGTATAGTTTCAAATAGAGACTCAAGGTTTACCTCTAGATTTTGAGAGAGTTTGCATAAGGCTTTAGGTAATGAGCTTAGGTTGAGTTCAGCCTATCACCCTTAAATAGATGGTCAAACCGAGAAAATCATACAGTCTTTAGAGGATCTATTGAGAGCATGTGTCTTAGAACATGGAGGTAGTTGGGATATTTTCTTACCTTTGAAATAGTTTACTTATAATAATAACCATTATTCCAGTATTGGAATGACACCCTATGAGGCACTCTATGGTAGGAGATGTAGAACACCTTTATATGGATAAAACCTCGGGAGAAATCCATATTAGGGCTTGAAGTAGTTTAGCAAACAACTGAGAAAGATTAATCTAAGATAGAATGAGAGTATCCTAGAGTAGGCAGAAAAGCTACCATGATAAGAAAAAGAAAAACCTTGAGTTTAAAGAAATACCATATATTCCTTAAGTTAACTCCTTCGACTAAAGTTGGTAGAACACTTAAATCTACCAAGCTTACTCCACTATTTTTTGGTCCCTACCAAATCCTTAAGAAGGTTGGTAATGTTGCTTACCAAATTTCTTTGCTTATGTGCTTTTCCAATTTGCATGATGTCTTTCATGTTTTCCCACCATGAATGTATTTTCGAAGGTTGTTTGGGGAGGAAATGTTGAAGAAAGTGTTACGTGGGAGTTAGAATGTTAGATGCGAAAAATGTATTTATTTTTACTCACTTTAGATAATTTCGATGACGAAATTTCTAAAAGAAAGAGAGAGTTGTAATACTTCATTTTCCATAAAATATAATATAAGTATTTTATTAATAATTTTTTATATTTTTATTTTATTAATAGGGGTTGTTAAGTATTTATTTATTTGATTAATATGTTTTACAATATAATACATGGTGTTTATTAAAGGTTATTATATTATTTTATTAAAGGGGAAGGATTTTGTAACCGTGATTAATATGTTCTAATTAAAGGGTTAAAGGGAGGTTAAGATTTTAAAAATAAGGATTTTAGATAAGTTTTTAGGCTCTCTTGTTTTTCCCACACATGTTCATGCTTCAAGACTTGGAGAATGAGAGCATGTAGGAAATCACCCCAAAGCCGTGTAAGGATATCTAGTGCTTATCCAAGTAAGGGGAGAGTAAGAAACCTCGCTATGGGTGTGGGTTTGTATTTCGAGTAGTGAGATCGCCTCCAAATCTTGTGTATGTTGTATGTTTATGTATGAGGGATTTTTTCCAAATGTGTCTATTTTAGTTTTTGTTCTTCTTGTATGTGATTAATGACATGAATTGTTTGAATATATGATTAATTTTATATTTTGGATGGTCATTGTGTGATCTGAGGTCCTTATGGGTTCACATGGGAAATCCTAAAGAAACTTGTTGTGATAGTTATGTAAAGATACTAGTTGCGTGTATAAATTGAATGATATTGGTTGATTGCATGTATAACTTGAATAATAGAGCTCCTTTTAAGGTGATTCCAAATTGGAAACCTAACATCCAAGACAAAAGCTTTCATGCAGATCACAAAAGCAAATTCAATTAATTTAGGGGGTTCTTGAGGTGATCTTGGTTGTGACAATTTTGTCACTCCCATGACAAGCTTTGTTTTGTTACTTACAATTGCTTTTGACTTCTACTAGCAAAGATCACAATTGTGACCACTGAATCACGCCTATGACAAGCCTTATTCTATCAATTACAACATTTTTCAACCTTAGGTAGTGTTAGTCACTATCATGACTACTAGAAGTCATGCTCTTGACGATTCCTAGACATCGAGTTACAAGCATATACCCCTCAACAACATTTCCAATAAGTTACAAACCATCTCAATCTCATCTATAAGCCCCAAAAATTAAATCAAAATCAACAAACTCACATGCACTGCATCAAAGTGATTATAAACAACATATACAACATGAAAATTAGTTTAAATCCAACATGCACCCACTCAACAACAAAGGATCAACAACTTTGGTTTTTGGGTTCACCTCCCCCAAAACCCCAACTTCAACAACCAACATTAAAATCAACATTCTAGTCATCAATGAGTGAATTATCAACATAAACAACAATAATCAACTTCAACAAAATAATTAATTCATAACATAGTATTACAAAACAAGTCCGATCAATATATTTAAAACAACGCAACGGGACGACGAATAAAATATTTAAAACAATGAAGTCGCTACTAATGTTTATTTTTACGGAAAAACATTAAAAAAACCCTGAAATAGAAAATGGCCTACAAAAATCAGATTTTTGAGTTCGGAAGTCGATTACATGTAAGGAAAGTATTAGCACCTCACAACATTCATCATAAGACGGTTACCTTTAATTAATTAAACAAATTATTTATAACTTATAAAATATTTATCTCACCCTAAATTAGTTAACTATAATGATCAAATATATTTTAACTAATGCATTTTAAGAAAGAGTTAAAATTATTATTGTTATATAAAAAGGAAGATATTTTTTTTTGCTCGACAAGATTTATTTCTTGCTCTTATGTATCTCAATGTGTAATGAAGAATTAGAGTCACATATTTCTTTATAGAAAATATTTGTATGTTGATATTTTTAATTGAATTTTACTTTTATTAAATTTAAGATTTTTGAACTGTCTCAGCTCATTCACCCTAAAGTATAAAATTGACTGAGGTGTATACCAAAGTCTAATCAATAAAATATTTAATTTCAATTATAATTATTGTTATAGGTATTATTATTACTATGGTATATACTTAAAAGATTTTCGGTTGGATATTTTTATTTTGGAGAAGTAATTTAAAGATATCAAGTTGTCACATCTTGTAACTTAAATTCAAAGATTAAAAAGATGTCACATCTAATTAATCATTCCTCCAATAAAATCTTCGATATAATGACTTCAAATATTTATATTGAATATTGTGATAATACTTTTTTATGTTTAATTATATTTTGAATTTAAATAAAGATTTTAAGGTAACAAATTGTCACAACTTGCACCTTTAAGCTCTAGAATCAAGAGAATGTTACATTCAAATAATTCTTTTTTTTTTAATGATAAATATTATTAATATAAATATTAATGAAAAAAACTCATAGTTATTATTATTATTATTGTTATTATAATAACTATTACTATTATCACTATTACTATGATTATAATTATAAGTATTATATTTATTATTATTATTATTATTATCATCATTATTATTACTATTATTATATTTATTATTATTATATTTATTATTATTATTATATTTATTATTATCTACTTTTACGTAATCCTAATTTCCTTTTCATAAGACTTGACTCTTGTTGTTATATGACCACACGCTTGCGGTTTCCAAATTTCGCATATTATATACCTATTTTACGTTTAAATTTTTATCTCGTATCATTTAATTATTCTTATATTTTTACTATATATAACTTAGTATGGGACAAAGTACACACAACTAATTGATCAATACTGTAATACATTTTTTTTTATTGAGGGTATTTTCTAATTTATAAATAGATTCTTGCGAAAAAATTCGCAGGAAACTTTCTTGCGAAATTTATTTTGCAGGAAACTTTCCTGCAAATTTTTTTTTTGTAGGAAACTTTCTTGCGAATTTTTTTCGCAAGAAAATTTCCTGAGAATTTTAAAATTCACAAAAAAAATATTATCCACGAAGGTATTACTTGCAGATAAAATTTTGCAGAAAAGTTTGCAAGACGTTTCTTGCGAATTTTTATGAAAAATTCGCAGGAAAAGTCGCATGTCTCTATATATATTGTGTACATTAATTAAATCTATATATGAAATCAATTTTTTTTTACTTGTAATAGAAAACAAAGAAAATAATTTCTAATTTGTGTGTAAAAACTATAAACCGCAACTATATATTGTGGGAAGGAAAAAGTATTATAAGGTTGTCTCTATATTTTTTTTTTTTCGTACGTGTTAATGTCTTTATGTAAAATGTTATCCAATGTCCTAAAAGCATTGATTAAAAAATATTTTAAAAAAAAGTTATATGGAGAACTATATATCTGTACATTAATTCTTTAAAATAACTTTATTATAATTTTTAATAAAATTATAAAAACCTTTTACTTATTGATTTTTTAAACATTGTTTTTAGGACACAGGTTGATAAAATCCTTTCTTTATTTGTATCCTAAAATGAAAATGATCGAGAATATAAATATACGTATATACCTGGGATGTTAGGTGCACGAGCCACCATGTCAGGTAGGTCAAAGTTGATGCCCTTGCGTACATTAGGGTAATTGTCCATGATCATACGAAGGGTGATACCAGAATTGCCACCAACATCAACTAGTGTTTCCACTCCTTTAAAGCCATCGTAGACTTGAAGCATTTCCATCATGAAGGGTACACACATTCCAGCGAAGGACTTATAAATTGAGGGCATAACATTATCATCTGGCTTCTTCGTGTGGTATTCTATCGCTGACACTCCGTTCGCCTTCACAAATGGTTCCACACTTGGATCTTCCACTGCTTCTCCCACCAATGGCCAAGCTCGCATCAATGCATCCTGTAATAGAAAAAACATGATCAAGAAGATAATTATCATTAAATTAAGCTGGTTAATCTAACTTTAATAGAATTACTCATTAACAAAATAGATAAATACTTCATAATAATATATAATAGAGAGAAGCATCAAAACAAATAATAACAATAGTAGACGGTTAAAAATACTCTCTGGGCTAAAAAGAAAATACTCTTCATGCATCTTTTATTATTGGTTAGTATTTTTTTTAAAAAAAAATCATTTACTGTTAACAAAAATTAATCCAATTGATAAAAAAAACAAACTCAAACCACAAAAGAACACGAATTTGATTCTTATCATGTGAAAAAACCATGTTTGTAAGTAATTTTTATGAAGAAAAGTCAATGGAACTCATTACGATCGATCAACTTAATGATAAGAGCTTGAAATAATATACAAAAGATTTTAAATTTGAATCCTCATACAAATATTGTAATTCCAATAGATAAAAATAAATAAATCTTATATACAATTAAATATGAGTTTTCGGAAAAGAATACAGTAGAAATTAACATTGCTCTAATATTTTCGTTGTTCTTTAACAATTAATATTATATTGGCGTATTATTTTGGTTGTTATTTATTTAAGAAACATGAAAAGTAAGAAAAAAAATAAAAACAGAAACTAACCTCATGGTGCTGGAGCATATAATATGCATAGGATAGACCTTGGTCATCGTCGGCGAGAGATTTTCCGATGTGAGTGAGTGAGTATTTCCTTTGGCCACTGCAGCTTAAGTGCTCATCAAAGATGTCATAGCTAGTCAGCAAGCGGAGGAGGCGCTGGAGGTTCTCGGCGTCGGCGCCGCCGTGGGGACGAATGCGAGCGAGAATTTGGGCGGCGGATAGGGGAGTGTTGGAACCATCTTGCATTATGGCCTCGGGGACCTTAAGGTTAAGCACAGCAATGAGGGACATAGGAACACTCATCATGTGGGCTAGTTCCAAAATGGCAAGCCTTGCTTCGTTTTCAGACTTTCCAATGGTATTGCTAACGTCCTTCTTCATCTCAACTATTTGCGGCACCTCTCCCATTATTATTGCCTGCTTCTTTCTGAACTCAATCGTCTTGTTTACTCTTGACTGTTTTTGGAAGATAAGAGACGACACGAAATTTATAGAAATACTAATACCTACTATTACCGATTGCAAAATTATCCACAATTGAATTAACGTCATTTTTCTAGAGCTATTTGTTTATTGAAAATATTACTTTAATATGGCTTTGGCTTTTCTGAGATGGAAAGGATAATTTCTTCTTGCGTGTTGATTAATTAATCATCTGTGCGTTAAGGATAATTTCTTCTTTCGTGTTGATTAATTAATCATTATAGTGCGTTATACATATATATCCACGGAAACAAGGTGTATCGAGTAAGTATTACACTCCCATGTCGGTAACTTATTGACTTAGTTAAACATTAAGGATACGTTTGCAACTACAAGACAAGGATTTGCATAGCATTCGCCTAGTCTCAATAGAATATTCCCATAGGTTGAAGTTCTTGGCCTATCGAATACCTTCCTCTACGATCAAGTTTGAGTAAAAAATAACGTTCGATCATTACATGGTAATTAAAAGCTTTGAATGCACTTAAATAATTAGATCTTTAATGGTAACACTTTCTCACTTATATATACATGCATTTCACCTTTAGAAGGTACATGACTTTTACACATAGCACCCGAATACTACAATAACTCTGACTTTAATTGAAATCCCTTTTGTAGTTACAATTGTCACTTGCAATCTTGAAGACTAAGAATCGGGTACTAAAATCAAGGACCAAGGAATTAGAGTTTGAGATTCTCTATGTACATTTGGCGCCTACCATGGAGTTGTAGAAAAATTATTCCTACAAACTCTATCAACTATAGAACATATAGATGGCTAGAGTTGGAGAATCACCCAATAGGAATCTTGATATGCTAGGTAACATCCATATGTTGGCTGATTTTTAAAAGGAGTTACAGAAATGGGGCAAATTAAGTGGGTAGCAACAAAAGCGACATAAGGAGGAGATAACCCTCCTCAGGCAATAGAATTTTGAGTTGTGATAGTTGATCAAGTAGTCACAATCTAGCACCAAGATTATTACTCCTAGACCAATCCTACTTGGCAACCAAGTTCATCTAACTCTTCATGTGATTCTTTTTTCCCTTTTCGAAATGCTAGTAACTGAGGTGTTGTAAACTATGAACTTGAGTTGCCTAAGCCTCTCAGTAAGATAAAACATTGGCACCAATGTCTCGGCTAGTTGGGACTTCGGTGCCTCACTTTGTTGCTATATCGAAGGAGTTCCGCAAGCACCCTTTTATTGATGAAATCATGAAGGTCCCTTTTCCAAGGAGATGGAAGAACTTGGGACTGGACAAGTATGACAGAAACTCTAATCTTGATGATCATGTTAACCTATATGTATCTCATGTTAGCATGCTTACTAGTACCGATGCAGTCATGTGCCAACTATTCTTTATTTTTCTAAAGGGAGTTGCGTTAAGGTGGTTCATTCGTATGCTATCATGTTCAGTTAACTTTTTCACGTACTGGTCTCCCAATTTACTATGCAATTCAGTATTAGTTGACCTTATGATATAACCTCGGCTACCCTTATCAGTGTCAAGCAAGGTAAGGATGAGTCTTTGAGGGCCTTCACGGACAGGTTTGAAAAAGTAGCTTTCAAAATTTCCAATCTGGCCAAGGAAGTTGCCCAACACCTTTAACGCTAGGTCCTTTTTTAGATAGCTTGTATAAGAAGTAGACTCTTTTTAATGGAGGAACTTCATAGAAGGGTTACAAAGTATATGCAAATGGAAGAACTTATTGAGTTTCAAGAACATTCCAACGAGGAATGAAACAAGTAGAAAATCAAATCTCAAGGTGACAAGATAGAGAAAGATTGCTCTAAATGTGCATGAGAATACAAACAACCTTGATTTTCTCACTACACTCTTTTGAATGATAGTCGGTCAAGGCTTTTGGATGAAGCGTTGAGTAGTGACTTTAGTCCATATATATATAAGAAAATCGAGGTTGTTTGTGTTCTTGTGCACATCTAGACCAGTCTCTCTTTATCTTGTCACTTTGAGACTCAATTTTCTCCTTACTCCGTTCTTTATCAAGACATTCTTGAAATCAATTAATTCTTCCATTTGCATATACTTTACAACCCTCCTATGAAGTTCCTCCATTGAAAGAGCTGACTTCTTATATAGGTTATCCAAAAAAGGACCTAGCCTTGAAATTTTGTTTATATGGAATTAAAACATAATAATAACTTAGTTTATAAAATTTAATAGGAAAAATAGTTAAAATAATGAAGAGAATAGTAGATAACACCATTATAATAGTTATATATACTACATACATTGATAATCATTGTCACACACACATCCATATATATATATATATATATATATATATATATA